GTACTCCAGAAGGGGCGGTCTATCTGGGTCCATCGCTGAGTTGAGCTCAGTGGACGCCACGTCAGACAGTGTCTTTGTCTGTGTCTGAAATTTGTGCTAGCCAGAAATAGGCGGTTATCTGAGCATAACTGTAGTAGGCGATCACCGCTATCTGTGCTTCCAGCAGGGATTCCGAAAGTGTCACCTAAGTGCTTTTCTCCCTCACTCAGTCTACTCACCTGTCCATTGAAGTCACCTGCAACAACCACCACATCCGAACGCTTGGCTTTCGAGAGGAGGCTAGACAGTCTACGGTAGAATTCGTCCTTCACTTCTTCCAAACTACAGTCAGTGGGTGCTAAAGCAGAGATTACAAAGAGACGACGGTGAGTTTCAATATTCCTTTCACTCCTCACTGACCCGTTCAGCTGGACAGCGCACAGGTGACTATCAACTGGGATCCAGTCTAGTAGTGGGTTTTCTGCCCTGGTACTTAATGTTATACCTATACCTACACCTGCAAGACCACGAGAGCTAGCTATCGAATCTCCAGAAACTCGAAGGGTGAATTTTGCAGATTCACCAGATTGATCAGGAGAGGTCAGGTGAATAACCACACTTGCGTCCTGTATGCGTGTCTCACAAACACAGCACACATCCATGGCCCGAGTTGCTAGTCTTTGCTAACGAAGCCTGTTGACCAATTTGACGGAGGGCTCGGACATTGAAGGCTCCAATATGTAATTTGGAGTGTGGTTTAAGGAGACCAAGGATGCTAAAGATGATGTAGTATTGTCACTGGAGATATGAAGGAAGACTAGGTGGTAATAAGGGGGAGGTGGATAACAGTCTGAGGAAACTTGAGTGCTGACAGAGTTATGAGGGCGATCGACACTTCCCGGCTGCCCACACCGTGGAAGGCTATTTCTTCTTAAGGTACCTGAAAGAGATTTGTGTGACCGCAGAGCCCATCGGACATCTTGCTTGAGGCCTTTCACATGTAGCCTTTTGAGTATGATTATTTTGATTTTTTGTTGTTTTGGGGCCGGATGGTCGAAAAGGACAAATGAAGCAACACCGCTGGCCCGGCAGACTGTGGGGCATAGTAGAGTGTGTTATTTTTGGAGCCCACCTTTTCTAACCCCTCCCATTCCACTGAGAAGGCAGCATCAGCATTGCACTGCTGTTCATCCAAGGGAAACACCATACTGCTGTCACACCCCATCCAGCTAACAGCAGTACGACTTCGCCCTCAGACCCCCATCATAGTGTAGCAATTTACACTATAAAGGTAACTGCTTTTCGTCAACCACTATTCAACAGACCTTTCTGGTATGGTAGGACCTCGAGGGAACAAGCGTTCCACCAGCATAGCTCTTTGGGTCATTGTGATATGCAAGCCCGACCACCACGTCAAGGTAGCAGCTATCGGTCGGACATGGCATGTTGTTTTAAAACATTGCAAAAAACTAACTTACTAGACAGCTCTTAAAGTTTCACTTTTCAGTGGTAAGTCCTTTTTAAAACATATTTCCTTGGAAGAGCATGGGGTCTAAAATTCCTCTATTGTTATTACTAACTTTATTGATCGCTGCAGCTAAATGTAGACTCTTTCAAAACACCATACTTCAACTGGTAACACATGAAACAATGATCTTGGAACTAGTATATTAAATGTTCACCACAACCAGATCGCCTAATGATGCTTATTTACCTAATTCTTTTTATGGAAGGTAGAAAAAAATCCTTCGTAAACTGACTGATTCAGATAAGACTGTAAGTATTCATACCTGTATAATCGTATGACACCATCCTTACCGGCTAAATTTGCGACGACACAGAGAAACGATTGCCTATCCTATGGCTACTAGATAGTGCAGTAGTCAACTCTGTGTCATATCATGATTGTGAGACGGTTACTACAAACAGACAAAATGATAATGGCAAAGGTGTTCGATCACAGATAAATATGAAACGTAATCTATTTTTGATGGAACCATCATGCCAGTGTTGAAAAATTAATAACCTGCAAAGACTAGGATCGCTAGTGCATATACTTTACAATTTACTTATGGTTGGACCTGGAGGGAACATGTGTTCCACCAGCATAGCTCGTTGGGTGATTGTGATATGCAAGCTCAACCACCACGTCAAGGTAGCAGCTATCGGTCGGTTTTACACTAGTATTACGTACGTCTTAATACAATCGGTACAGCCCACATTCCAGTACAGAAACATGTACCAGATTGAGCAACACCTCCACACTTAGTATGCATATGAATGTTGCTCTCTGCGATTAACGACAAGATGGTAAGTAGAAACGAAAAGTCAAATGAAGATCACAACACGCGTAATACGAAAGTCCAATGTGATTCTGAAGCGTTATGAACACCTCCATTATTCATCGGAAAAGATCTACCCAACTTTGCAAAACAAATCGACCAGAAGAGATCATCGACATGAGAACTTATTAACTGAAACACATTAGCAATAAAAAGATATCATAATAGATAGAAAAAAAACAGCCTATTTTTATCTACACGGGACTTCAGTAGGATAAGCCAGGAACATGCATATATATTTCATACCAGCAAACTAATACTCAGCAGAAAATGGACAAACAAATCAAAAACATAATCAAGAGAATGCGCATTAGGAATTCAACGGTTTCACGGTACGGTATCTACCTAGTATCTCTGATACCACTATTTGACATTGCAACACGTAAATGACAAAACATATTTTAACTGAAGTAAAACAAGTGGCAAAAATTGAGAAAACCAAACAATGAAAACGGTTACAAATTAGCCCAGGTACACTACTGAATCAACATTCCGAATCCTATAACTCCAATCAGCAGTTGCTAACTTGGAATAACGCAGATGCAGACTGCCAAAGAGGTTAAAACATCATCGCAAGCAACTGTACACAATTAATACAAAATGAGAAATAAAAACATAGTGAAAGCAACACAACAGTTGAAAGGAATCAAGGGGAAAAATTACAGACAAGCAATGGCAGGCAAGACGGCAGCGTAAAGGCACGCGCCCAAATGCATCAGCAGTCAAAACCGCCTCAATAACACAAACAAAATTCAACGCCTACCCACCACAATTCCGCTCCCCCCCCCCAATAGGTCATATTAACATTGAAACACAAAGACTAAGTCCTCAACTTCCACAGAAGTTAAGAAAGATGTAAGTCCTCTGAAAAGATGAACGACTGAAGGCCCTAATGCACTCGCACTTGAAATATCTAAGAACAGTGCCTGAAGATTATTGCGTAAATTGACAAACGTGTTTGCTAGCCTGATCCCTCCCGACTGATCTGAATCACTGAAAAAGGAGGGAAATCCTCCTGTGACGACCACAAGGAATTCAGTTTGACAAACGTATCTAAGATTCTGGATTCTTTAGTTATTAGACGCTTAAGGGAAACTCGGCGACAGCAAACCTAAGGGGAGTAGGCAGATTTCAAGCTCGGTCGTCGGTGTATCGAACTGGTCTTTACCCTCCACCAGTGCCCGACACTAGCTTTATTTTTGGACCTGAAGGTGGTACTCTACTCCATCGATGGTGGGGTTTTATGGCAGTGTTTATCGTCAAGGGGGATGCTAGGTAAGCAAATTACCCGTTGGATACTGTGAATTCGAACACTCGTGGGTGCGTTAAAGCCTGTGGTGAGTTGTGCACTTTGAATGGTCTCCACCAAGGATATCCCTCTCTCCACTCTTATTTGACTTTATCATAGAAGTGCCTATGGAATTCCCCTTCTCCTCGTTTGACTATACGGGGAACGACCTTTTGCCAGGGAATTTCTGAATAGACCTCAAGTACACACACGTGACATATTTCTGTTAGGTGAAGACGCTGACTGGATGGAGAGTCTTCTGGACACCTTGAGTGGCGACTCGAGAATGTTTGAGATGCATTTCTCAGTACGTGGATGAAAATGACTGCTTAAGGACTGATCTACATTGATGTCCCATCTGACAATAAGGATCGAATCGGTTGAGCGCGTCAAACACCCAGTTATTTGGGAAGTCGGTTCAGTCCTGGATGGTCAGTGACCGACGAAGTCTTTGCACAGATACAAAAGGGCAGACTAACTTTTGTCAACTTACTCCATTTATGGCGCCGCTGTGATATCAGATTGCCTACCAAGGAGTGGGTGTACTGCGTTGCAGGTGATCGAGCACTATTGTCGTGTAAACATGTGCGATATGTCATGGAAACATCAGACTGGGAAGGTAGATGTCATGTGTAGAGTTTTAGTCGAGAGTTGAAAATCATATGGTAAAGTTGAAAACCTTTGTTGACTGGAATGACTGAGACATGCGTTATGCATACCTAGTCACAGTCGACTCCGTTGCTTGATGGTAGTTGAATTGACTTTGAGCTGGACAAAGGTTAAAGACAGCCATACAAAAATATGGTATCACCTCATGACGTTTCCGACTGTTGATTTGAGCCTTGTACAGGGATGTAGACTTCCTGGTTGAGGTCCATGTGACAACAGAAATCGGTGGTTGGGAGCTCTAGATGAAATGGCTCGGAATCGATCTCAGTGGTGCACATGTGGCCCTACATTGCCGTCGTTTTAATTGTCGTATTGCATTTCATTATTTATCTTACGCTTTCTTCTTGTCTCCTCGTGAGTTTCTAATACTTTTGACGACTGTATTTTAATCTCTGGATTTTCAGTTTTCCAGCTTCATGCGTTGATGTACTGACGTGAAGTGTGAAAATGTGGACGGTTATGCATCCACACTAGGTACTATGTGGGTATGAAATTAGTGACCAGTAATTCTTACGTATCAAGTTAGAGAAATGCATATATCAACAACGGAAAAGTTCTTACCATCATTGCGATAAGGGTCAAAATGTAACTGTTCCGAATTGCTGAATAGTGTAGGCTGAGAAGAAAAGGGCGTTCAGTAGCAACATTATTTCCAGACCATCCATACATGTAGGTAGCGAATGGGGGCGGAAGACCAAACAGAGCATCAAAGTGGGGTCCTACTGGAGGAGATAGCATTGCAGCAGTATGTTTGTCTTCCGATTTCTGATGCTGTTTGGTTGCTGACGTTTTCTCTCCATTAGGGTTTGCATTCAACAATACGGAGTCTTTTTCTCAGTGAGTTTTTGATCAGCATGAGGTTCACAATAACCAGTTCCTAATGAAGATTGACTTTTTAATTTTATGTCTTCATCTCTACATTCGGTGGACAAAGCGGTAATCGCGGTTGCAAACTTTCCAGAACACAAGTTTGAAGATGAAACTGGGGATTAAACGAAACTCTATGGGATGTTGACCCTTCAATATTTGTGACAATATTGACATCATCTACCTAAAGAGGAAAAATTTTACAGTTTAACAAATAACTAGTTTATGCATGGTAGGAACAATAAACTAGTTAGTACAAAAACGCTTGTATATGAAATGAATGTACCTTACAAAAACCAAAAGATTTAGATTTGCTTGGTATGTGACTAACCAGTGTAAACAGAATAATCCTTGATTTCATAGCCACACGGTTTTTAGAACCAGATTTATAGACCTAGATCATTTCTTCTACAGTATACGCAATAAAAGCTTATTTTTTATCGAATTTTTAGTCAACTAGTGAGAAACGGTGACAAAAATCAACGAAGATCGGAAGCATGTACGATTATCAACTCCGTAAATATGATCAAATCCCGATTAATTTTGTTGGATAAGTAAAACCAACAAAAGCAGGTGTATGAAAGTGCATCAGCTTTTCTTCTTACCTAAGGGAGAAAACAGATATCCAATACTTCTGTAAAAACAATTGACCGACGCAGTATCATATTTCATACCCACGTCTTTATCAAAACTACAAATTCCCAGAATGTACTTGACGACCAGTCAATTTTATAACTGTTCTCTTAACATACCAATTGCAGAGTGACAAATCAATATAGAACCTGACACAAGTGCGATAGATGAAGTTACCATACCTCACAATAACATGCAAAGTGGAGAGAAAAACAATGACACTAAAGTAGAATGTGTTTAAGAGGTGGCAGGATCAATAGATAAAGGTTAGTGAAAAATGGAAGATTTCAAAGGTGACAGAATACATGAATCTAAAATATCAGCGAAGATTTCATACATTTATTTTTTAATTCAGTGATAAGCTATCATACGAACTGAGTTATAGTAAAATAACTACTTGTATAAATAAAATAAAATCACTGGATAACTTAGAATGTCGAAGATCTTTATTCAATAATCATAATGAAACTAATATGATATCCACATTCGATATATTATGTTCCCATAGATTCGGGGTGAATATTACTAGTAGGCTGGACTACTTTATGAGAGCAATAATATTTAAGTATGTTGAGAAAAATAGTCGCTGTTACTCGCAAGTACTCCCGACCGATAGCTGCTACCTTGACGTGGTGGTCGGGCTTGCATATCACAATGACCCAACGAGCTATGCTGGTGGAACGCTTGTTCCCTCGAGGTCCTACCATACCAGAAAGGTCTGTTGGGTAGTGGTTAGACGAAAAGCAGTTACCGTTATAGTGTAAATTGCTACACTATGATGGGGGTCTGAGGGCGAAGTCGTACTGCTGCTAGCTGGATGGGGTGTGACAGCAGTAAGGTGTTTCCCTTGGATGACCAGCAGTGCCATGCTGATGCTGCCTTCTCAGTGGAAGGGGGGGTTAGAAAAGGTCGGCCCCAAAAATAACACACTCCACCACGCCCCACGGTCTGCCGGGCCGGCGGTGTTGGTTCACTTGTCGTTTCCTTTCGCTCATCCGGCCCCAAAAATACAAAAGTTCAAAATAATCATACTCAAAAGGCTGGGTGTGACAGGCCTCAAGCAGATGTCCGATGGGCTCTGCGGTCACACAAATCTCTTTCAGGTACCTTAAGAAGAAATAGCCTTCCACGGTGTGGGCAGCCGGGAAGTGTCAACCGCCCTCACAACTCTGTCAGCACCCAAGTTTCTTCTGACTGCTATCCTCCTCCTCCATCATTACCTTCTAATCTTCCTTCACGTCTCTTAATTAATGATGCTGCATCATCTTCAATTTCTCCTACCTCTGCAGCCTTCGACAACGATCTGAGTCCACAGAACAGCGTCCCTGGTCTCCTTAAACCACGCTCCAAATTACATATTGGAGCCTTCAATGTCCGCACCCTCCGTCAAATTGGCCAACAGGCTTCGTTGGCAAAGACTCTAGCAACTCGAGGCATGGATGTGTGCTGTGTTTGTGAGACACGCATACAGGACCCAAGTGTGGTTATTCACCTGACCTCTCCTGACCAATCTGGTGAATCTGCAAAATTCACCCTTCGAGTTTCTGGAGATTCGATAGCTAGCTCTCGTGGTCTTGCAGGTGTAGGTATAGCATTAAGCACCAGGGCAGAAAACTCACTACTAGACTGGATCCCAGTTGATAGTCGCCTCTGCGCTATGAGGCTGAACGGCACAGTGAGAACTAAAAGGAATAGTGAGACTCGCCGTTGTCTCTTTGTAATCTCTGCTTACGCACCCACTGACTGTAGTTCGGATGAAGTGAAGGACGAGTTCTACCATAAACTGTCTAACCTCCTCTCGAAAGCCAAACGTTCGGACGTAGTGGTTGTTGCAGGTGACCTCAACGCACAGGTGGGTAGACTGAGTGAGGCAGAAAGGCACTTAGGTGGCACTTTCGGAATCCCAGCTGAACGTACAGATAACGGTGATCGCCTATTACAACTATGCTCAGATAACCGCCTATTTTTAGCCAGCACAAATTTCAGACATAAAGAAAGGCACTGTCTGACCTGGCGTCCACCGAGCTCGACTCAGCGATGGACACAGATAGACCACATTGCTATTAGTCATCGCTGGAGAGGATCGGTGGAAGACTGCCGCTCCTTCTGGAGTACGTGTTTGGACAGCGATCATGCGTTGGTCCGAGCACGTATATGCCTGCGTCTCAATGGACGTAGAAAAAATTTGGCAACAAAACCACTACGAGTTCTGCTGGACAACGAAAACACCAAAGCCGTGTTCAGTGAGAAGTTGGCTAGGCAGTTATCGGAACAAAAGACTGTCACTCATCCAGAAGAAGCTTGGTGCCATCTTCAGTCTACTGTAAAAGCAGCACTGGAGACTGTAGCCGACTCCAAGATAATGGCTAAAAAGAGCCAGTGGATATCAGCAGCTTCTTCCAAACTAATGGATGCACGTGAATGCATCCCTGCAGGCTCTGAGTACAATGAAGAGCGAGCGCAACTTAAAAATAAACTGACGAAAAGTCTGCGCAACGATCGTGAACAGTGGTGGGCAGCAAAGGCTAAAGAGATGGAAAAGGCAGCGGCGATCGGTAACAGTAGACAGTTATTTAGACTTATTAAGGAGACTGGGGGGAAATGGTCAACAACAGTTAGTGAGGTTATAGCGGAGAAGGACGGATCGGCGATTCACTCGCAGGGAAGGCGACTGGGACGATGGGCAGAACACTTTGAGGAACAGTTTAACTGGCCTCCAGCCACCATTGCGCTGCCCGCTATCCAGTCGGACCCTGAATGGGACATAGAGACAGGTCCCCCAACACTAGAAGAAGTTGAGAAAGCGGTAGGTAGCCTGAAACGGGGAAGGGCAGCAGGACCAGACGGACTACCTGCTGAGGTATACAAGAATGGTGGTAGAGTTCTCTTAGTCAGGCTAACGGAAGTGTTAGCCAGTATATGGGAATCAAATACGATCCCCTCCGACTGGTCTAAGTCACTCATCATCCCAGTCTTCAAGAAAGGCGAGAAGTCCTCTTGTGATAACCACAGAGGAATCAGCCTGACAAACATAGTGTCTAAGATCCTAAGTTCTATAATTCTCCGACGCCTGAGTGGAGCTCGGGAACAGCAAGCCCGAGAAAACCAGGCAGGCTTTAGACCTGGCCGTGGATGTATCGACCAAATATTCACACTGCGCCAGGTCCTGGAACATAGGCATGCTTACAGACGCCCGACAATAGCTGTATTTCTCGACCTGAAGGCGGCATTTGACTCCGTTGATCGAGAAGTCTTATGGCAGTGTCTGTCACTGAAAGGCGTGCCTAGTAAGTACATCACCTTATTGAAAGCTCTCTACTCGAACACTTGTGGGCATGTTAGAGCCTATGGTGAGTTGTCCAGGGAGCTATACTCATCAAGTGGTGTCCGTCAAGGATGCCCACTATCCCCATTCTTATTTAATTTTATCATAGATATTCTTATGGAGGTTTCCCTCTCGTCACCTAATTACAAAGACGTTGACCTAATCGGTGGTGAATTTTCCTTAGATCTAGAATATGCAGATGACATAGTCCTGTTAGGTGAAGACGCTGACAAGATGCAGAGTCTTCTGAACACTTTGAGTGGGAATTTGAGAATGTTTGGGATGCGATTTTCACCACCCAAATGCAAATTTTTGCTCCAGGACTGGTCTTCAGCGGTACCGCGGTTAACAATAGAGAGTGAAGTGGTTGAGTGTGTTGACCACTTCACTTACCTGGGAAGTAGGATCAACCCGGTGGGTTAGTTGCCGATGAGATTTCTGCACGGATACAAAAGGCTCGATTGGCTTTTGCCAATTTGCGCCACCTATGGCGCCGCCGTGATATTCGTTTGTCTATTAAGGGTCGCGTGTACTGCACAGCAGTCCGCTCTGTTCTACTGTATGGCTGTGAAACATGGCCATTGAAAGTGGAAGACATGAGAAGGTTACAGGTATTTGACCACCGTTGCCTTCGTAGTATAGGACGTATTCCGTGGTGTCACCATGTGAGTAATGCAGAAGTTAGGTGTAGAGTTTTAGGGAGAAGAGGTAAGTCAGTCGACGAGGTTGTGAACCTTCATCGACTGAGATGGTTGGGACACGTACTACGTATGCCTAGTCACCGATTGCCTCGTCACACAATGTTGGCTGAGGTGGGTTCAGGCTGGAAAAAGGCCCGAGGTGGCCAGACTAAAACATGGCACCAATGTATGAAGTCTCTGACTGTTGGTTTAAGCCATGTAGGACGATGCAGACTAGGTGGTTGGGGTCCACGGGACAAGAGGAACCAGTGGTTGGAGACCCTAGGTGATATGGCTCAGAACCGAAGTCAGTGGCGCAGATGTATACACACATTATCCTCATCTTAACAACGCTATACCGAATCTCACTATTTTGTCACTCCTCTTTCCTTTCTTCTCGTACTTTATATTTCTTTTGACTGCATTCACTTATCTTCATCCTTCACCTCACTACCTTTTACTTGATGTGCTGATATGAGGTGTGGCAACTCGGACCGTTACGCAGTAATGCCTGGTCCTATGTTGATAATGATGATGATGATGATGACGCAAGTAACTCCCGAACTAGTGCTACCACATATCTGAATCCCAGGTAGTCTTCTGTTATAATTTATACACAGCTGTAATAAACTCCCATTCAATGGACCGAAATTTGGCGATGTGCATATGTATTTCGCTACACTGGATACAAATAGAGTAAAAAAAAGCCTTGAAACGGTCAGGATAGTTAACATTCAAAACACAGTAGTGGTGTTAATGTGCTTTGGATTTAGAACCTTAAAAATTGCTGAAACAGCACAAAGAACAGACAGCACCAGTGTAATATTGCAGACAATTAGTGAGACGATAGAAAAAACTAGTAAATCATCGAAAATAAAAAAAGTATGAAATCTCAAAACAGGAAAATTCAGAGGTTATTCGGCGCAACCACTAAATCTTTTTCATACGTCAACAGATGTAGTTTTAAGTTTGTTGTTGCGGCTTTGTTGTGATTGAAAAAAAAGTATATATGAACTGGACGAGTCTCATATTTTTCAGATCACTTCTGGTGGTTAATCACGATATCATATGTACCCTAGAATAATAAAGGTCACCGGGCTGGCAACGGAACAAGAACCATAACTAATAAGACGGTAACTGAAGTATATCTTTAGGACAAGTTTAACTGATATGGTAACGAGGTTTACTTTCAACTATAGACAAAATCATGTACTCTTGACGTTTTCAGTAATGTTCCGATGGTGTTAACTTCCAATAAGTTAAAATATAATGGAGTAGATTGACCAGTAAAACCTTAGTATGACCTCAAAACTTTGTTTCAAAAAAAACTGAACAACATAGACAATGAAAGACGCGCCAATGCAGCGTGAAAACACTTACTTTCTCATCATTACCACTACACCATAATTCAACTGGAGGTTCAGAATTGCTGACGTTGTTGTGACGAAGCTAAAAAAGAAAATAACAATTACTTCAACGATATGCTGTATTTCCATCTAAGCTGATCTTTTTTTTTTTAAAGTACGACATAACTCGTAACCTGTGACGCACAAATCTCCATTAGTCAAGTTTTGACAAACGCATCACAATCATAATGACGAAAGAGTGACAATTCATTTTTTAAACTAGCCGAAAAAATATAACAGGCGAGCCTTAACAACTATTGGGAACCAACTGCGAGAAAATTGTCAGAACAAAATAACGCAGTTCAAATTATGTACCCCAATATCGTCTTAAGATTCCATCCCGACAGTCCCATGATCGTCGAGTTTCTATTCTTCTGTAGGAATAACAGTTGCCAACTTACAAACACGCATACTACAAACATGAAAGATCAAGATGAATTTTTACTGTTCAGAGTACGTCACCTTTTTAAGAAATGTAAGGTGTACAGACGTTTTAGCTCCATGCAAAGGAAGTTAAACTAGTGTTCGCCTCTTTACAAAATCATTTAACCTGCCACATCACATAAACAAATCAGGGAACAAAAGAACGAAGGGGAAGGGAGAAATCACTAAAAAAAGGGAGGAAGTAAGGAAAACATACAGAAAACGAAAGAGATAATAATAAAATCCAACACGACAATTAAAACGACGGCAATGTAGGGCCACATGTGCACCACTGAGATCGATTCCGAGCCATTTCATCTAGAGCTCCCAACCACCGATTTCTGTTGTCACATGGACCTCAACCAGGAAGTCTACATCCCTGTACAAGGCTCAAATCAACAGTCGGAAACGTCATGAGGTGATACCATATTTTTGTATGGCTGTCTTTAACCTTTGTCCAGCTCAAAGTCAATTCAACTACCATCAAGCAACGGAGTCGACTGTGACTAGGTATGCATAACGCATGTCTCAGTCATTCCAGTCAACAAAGGTTTTCAACTTTACCATATGATTTTCAACTCTCGACTAAAACTCTACACATGACATCTACCTTCCCAGTCTGATGTTTCCATGACATATCGCACATGTTTACACGACAATAGTGCTCGATCACCTGCAACGCAGTACACCCACTCCTTGGTAGGCAATCTGATATCACAGCGGCGCCATAAATGGAGTAAGTTGACAAAAGTTAGTCTGCCCTTTTGTATCTGTGCAAAGACTTCGTCGGTCACTGACCATCCAGGACTGAACCGACTTCCCAAATAACTGGGTGTTTGACGCGCTCAACCGATTCGATCCTTATTGTCAGATGGGACATCAATGTAGATCAGTCCTTAAGCAGTCATTTTCATCCACGTACTGAGAAATGCATCTCAAACATTCTCGAGTCGCCACTCAAGGTGTCCAGAAGACTCTCCATCCAGTCAGCGTCTTCACCTAACAGAAATATGTCACGTGTGTGTACTTGAGGTCTATTCAGAAATTCCCTGGCAAAAGGTCGTTCCCCGTATAGTCAAACGAGGAGAAGGGGAATTCCATAGGCACTTCTATGATAAAGTCAAATAAGAGTGGAGAGAGGGATATCCTTGGTGGAGACCATTCAAAGTGCACAACTCACCACAGGCTTTAACGCACCCACGAGTGTTCGAATTCACAGTATCCAACGGGTAATTTGCTTACCTAGCATCCCCCTTGACGATAAACACTGCCATAAAACCCCACCATCGATGGAGTAGAGTACCACCTTCAGGTCCAAAAATAAAGCTAGTGTCGGGCACTGGTGGAGGGTAAAGACCAGTTCGATACACCGACGACCGAGCTTGAAATCTGCCTACTCCCCTTAGGTTTGCTGTCGCCGAGTTTCCCTTAAGCGTCTAATAACTAAAGAATCCAGAATCTTAGATACGTTTGTCAAACTGAATTCCTTGTGGTCGTCACAGGAGGATTTCCCTCCTTTTTCAGTGATTCAGATCAGTCGGGAGGGATCAGGCTAGCAAACACGTTTGTCAATTTACGCAATAATCTTCAGGCACTGTTCTTAGATATTTCAAGTGCGAGTGCATTAGGGCCTTCAGTCGTTCATCTTTTCAGAGGACTTACATCTTTCTTAACTTCTGTGGAAGTTGAGGACTTAGTCTTTGTGTTTCAATGTTAATATGACCTATTGGGGGGGGGAGCGGAATTGTGGTGGGTAGCCAGTTGATTTTTTTAAAGGGTTTTCACTCTCGTATTTTAAGTGGAATTTCAAGGAATGGTAAATCGTCTTGAATTTCAAGTTCTTACAGTGAAAATGTGCGAACTCTGAAGACGTAAGGTCGTAACGTCACAAGTGATGACACTGCAAGAAGAGTAAATAAACTCACAGTATGTGAAAAGCCACTGGGTTCTGAATCTAACCAACGTCGCGTTTCTAGCACCAAAATATAATACAGCAGCATTGTAATTGGTGGAGCCAACAGTCGACAATTCGAAAACCAGTTGGGAATATTATTTCACCGGGCCTTTCACACGATGTGCGCATGATATAATACAAGCCAAGTAGCCTATTATCATGAAGTATTAGAAAACAAGTAGTTACAATGCATTAAAAACTGCTCAGGCAGTGTAAATAGGAATATTATGTCTACTGCATCCTGAAAAGATTACAACTGATTAAATAGGTGATGTTCAATGGTTACAAATAAAAAAATTTCAGAAAATTCCCTGCTGACATAGGTTAGAATTTGTTTTACTTAACATCCCTTGAAACCTTACTATTCTATATGAAATCAGTCTTATACAAAGAAGTAACACTAGATTGGAATTTTTAAGTGGAGCATTTTTAGTTTCAAAAACAATGCACTGGTCTTGCCTTGCATGGGTAAGTACAATCAACATATGTACATCAACTTATAACAGCAAATCCATCCTGATACCACTTTGCCAAGACGTATAACAACTTGAATCATTAAGTAATGATTTCAGCTTTATTTTGATGCAGAATGGTTGACTGTGGTGTACAACATGGTGAAGTATACCTTCATAGAGGTTGCCAAACTCCTAAAGCATCGTTTGTATCATCGAAAAACTAGCTCACACAATTCTTACCTAGCTAGAAAGCCGCCGTCTTTGCAGAACTCTTGGAAGAAGGGAAACTGATACAAGTAGTACAAACACACATGCAATCCACTGTACACCAAAAGAAATATGCGGAGAGAGGCAAATGGAGTTGGACTGACATCATTTCGACATGCCCAATAAGTGCATATAGTGAGAAACGACAGAACATATACACCAGATGGCAATGATGGTGAAGTTATTCCCGCAAAGCAAACAAGAAGTACCGTTGTCAACATCCGTAAAGAATCCATAGCCCAAGCACGCCATAATTTACGTTGACTTTCATTCCACGATCTCGTGAAAATAAAATACGTTTTATCCTGTCGCCTGTTTTTTCTCACGCTGAATTTTTGGGTGGACAAAAAACTGCTTTGAACTACCTTGGTCTTAAAAAGCCTTGCATTATTATCTTCAGCTTCTGTAGGATTACGGGACACAAGACTATTATCAGCAGCCGACAACACACCAGTTGAAGTTAGAAGAGCTGGAGGAACTCGACGTCTCCTACTAAAATAGACCAATGAAGCAACTGCCACTGACAAGATAAGGATGTCTGGAAGCACAAGCCTCATTGCCCGATAGGGTAGCATACCATCAAGTCTCTGGACACCAATTTGAGCAGCAATCATCGTTTCTTGACCTGTATAAATATAAGTGTATAAGGCATAAATAACTTACATGTGCGTAGAGCATTTTCATATGGTGGCGCTACGGTTAAGACTATGTGAAGGGTTGGGTGAGATAATGTGAACACACAGCTTAATGTTATGAGCAAGATTAGATAAACTTGAACTTTAGCTACAAGCGATAATCAAACAAGGTATGCACTAAACTTACTTGTAGATTGAGGACATTTAGGGCGAGCGAGCAACGGACATGCCAGTAAAAACAAAAGGTAGGTGAAAGAAAATGCATTGTAACGTACAACTGTTACCGCAAACAGAACAAAAGGGATAATCAAACGTAGAAAAATCAAATCAACAATGCCCGGTATCATTACACTGTTTGTGTATAACTGGTTCAAAATCAAAAAACAATTCAGAACCCATGTAGGCAGACTCAAAAATTGTCTAGGTATGCACGACCAACTCCTACGAAACCTTGGCAAAACCCAAGGTCAGTAATGAGCATTTGAATTAAAGGGTTAACATGGTGAAGACGCGCTGTAGGTCACCTGACCTCCTTGTGATTGGTTACCTCTGTTTGAGTAGCTTTTGGCGGTAGATACATTGTGAGCGATTAGTTCACAAAAACCTCCAATCATAAACTTGTAGAATAAGTGAACGGCGGTTCCTTGGGTTCTACGCCTGTCTTATTGGAATATGTTCTGAGTTTGAAATGGTCACAAATATCTTCCTGGTTCTGAAAAACTTAATAGGATAGAGATACGATTACTAATTAATCTGGTCTCAAGGCAGTATTACTGCATCTGATCTGCGGAAAGCTTCTCCAGTACAGCCCATTAGTACCTTAGGACTCTAGGTGTGCGTCTAACCTCCTTTAAAAAGTTTCAGGGATGGAGCTGTAACAACTGCTGAAGGGAGAGAGTTCCACAGTTTACAGACTCTAACTGCAAATGAGTTAGCACGGATCTTTGTACATGCTCTCTAGTGCTCTATTCTTAACAGGTGACCCCTCAGGTCGCGTTCCCGACCAAAGCTTAGAAGGGATCTGTTAGGGTGGAGGAGATTATGGGCGATGTGGTACATCATGATCATATCCCCTCTGGTCCTCCGGTATTGTACTGGGTGCAGCTGGAGAGCAACTAAGCGGTTTGGGTACAGTTTGTGCCGTAACCCAATCACTTTCTCTGTCTCTCTTCTCTTTACCCGTTCTAGGATGGCCATGTCCTTTGTCAGGTGTGGGGACATCACAAGCGAATTTTTTCTAGATGAGGGCGAATGTACACAGCATACACTGTGGTGAAAGGAGGGGAGTTAGACGTCTTAAAGTTCGCGAGAGAAATCCCAGGATTCCATAAGCCCTATTGGCTGCAAGGTGACAGGGAACTGAGGCTCCTAGTGTGTCGTCTAGTGTAACTCCCAGATCTTGTTCTATGTTAGAGTGACAGATATTTATTTCACCCAGAGAGCAAGAACTGGGACTGCCTTTATGTCTGTCAACTATCATAATTCGACACTTCTTTGACTTGAGAGGAAGCAGGTTTTCTGTAGTCCAATTAAGGACTTTCGTAAGGTCCTCCTGGAAGACCGAAATATCGGTTAGCTCCTGTATTTACCCACAAATCTTCAGATCATCGGCATATATTAGTGAATGTGAGTTAAGGACCCCTGGTAGGTCATTGATAAAGCAAGAAACAGTAGTGGGCCCAGTATGGAACCTTGAGGCACACCACTCAGTATCGGGGACCAATTAGATAAAGAGGAGCCAACTCTAACTGACTGCACCCTGTGTACAGATGACCTCTAAGCCAAATTAATAATTCTCCGTGTACACCCATAAGCTGGGGTTTCTTACAGAGGATATCATGATTGACCCTGTCAAAGGCCTCAGAAAAGTCAAGTAAACCAATATGAATAGATTTTTTCTGCTTGATGGAGAGTGTCCAGCTATTCCAAGCCATCAACAAGTTGGTGTTACATGACATTCCTGGTGGAAAGCCATGTTGACAGTTGTTTAGGATTGATTTCTGAAGTAAGTGATCACGAAGTGAGTCACTTATGACTCTCTTCATGACCTCCGCAACTGAAGAGATCAGGGAGATTGATCTGTAGTTGGAGACAGGTAGTTAGTTTCCATCTTTATAAATTGGGACTACAGCCACCCGTTTCCAATCAGAGGGTAACCTGCCTTCCAGAAACGGACATTTGAGGAGGTTTTCTAGTGGGGCGCACAGAACTTCAGCACACTCTTTGAGTACTTTTGGGCGAATCTCATCAATTCCTGGAGGCTTATCTGGGTCAAATTTCTTTAATATTTCCATGATTATAGAGGCTTCAAACTCTACATGGTTTAGTCCCTCTTTAATGCAGGTATCCGACAGAGGCATGGTTTTGCCTCCCAAATGACAGAAGTTGCTTTGGAATTCATGAGCTAGTAGGTTTGCTACTTCGGAGTTGGAATAGAGAGTCTCCAAATTAATGGAGTCCTGCAAACTAAGTGAACTGTTATCTTCCGTTTCACCAGCGAGTAAAGTATCCCATGATTCCTCTCCAGGGCTCTACAAAGTTGTGTCTGGTGGTTTATTCTGTCATTTCTGATCCTCATTGCACATTTTTTCTATATCTTCATAACTTAGCCAGTCAAAAAGGCTATTAGTGCACATCCATAGATTCCAAGGCGACCGTCTACGCCGTATTAGTTTGCGCATGCTTGACTTAAGCCAGGAGGAGTAGAACTAGTTAGCTCTTCTTGGAATTAGAGGAGTGTTGTCTTTTATTGTATGGAGGATTATGTTCTTCAGCAGATCCATCTGGCATCAAGATCCGGTAGGTCATGACAATTCAAGCAAGCGGAACCTTCTAGATCTTGCCGAACCTTCTCGAAATCAGTTCTCTTGTAATTCCTGAGTAGTGGCTGGTCGGAAAACCGGTGGCTTAGATACAGAAATACTGAGGGAGATAACTGCGTGGTCACTCAGGCCAAGAGGGCTGAAAGCATCCAAGTTGCTTGCCCCAATGAACTGATTTGTGAAAATATAATCTAGTTGGGATGCCTTACCATCAAGACCCCAGCGAGTACACTGGGAAATATGTTCCATCAAGGAGTTTTCCAGTGACGATTCCCGAAAGTCTTTTAGAGCAGTAGGTGGACTTTCTGTGGTAAAGAGCTAAAGAAAGTTAAAATCTCCCATAATGAGGACCTGTGGGAAGTTCAGTTCCAGGGCTCCTCTGATAGACTGTATTTACATTTTATTTGAAGTGGCATCAACTGCAGGGGGACGGTTTGAGACTTTAACTAAACAGGGACCTCCGTAGCACTTAATACTACACCAGATGAAATCTTTAATGCCAATTCTATGAGATTGAATCTAATGGACTTTTAAGTGAGGACAGGTGTAAAGGGCAACACCACCTCCTGGGCCCTCTGGTCTATCTTTCGGATTAGGCTGAGCCGTTCTGAACGAACTTCCCCGTTCTCTATGTTCTCTGAGAGCCATGGTTCACAGAAAGCCGTTATGCTAGGGCCATCCTCATCCGATAATAACCTTAACTCAGGTGCCCTGAAGCGTAGGCCTCGTACACTACTGTAGGTACGGCGGATAAGAGTATATGGGTTGGAGTTTCCAGAAATCAGTTGAGTTAGGGTGAGTTGCCAACCTTTAAATGGCTGGCTTTGACGAGTTTTTTTATAGGGCGGTGGAACCAAGGGCTACTATATTCACTGATCTCTTTGACTGAGGATTGGTGCAGGGGTCTTCTATCTGGGATAAGGCCGATAAAAACTCTTGCTCATCGTCCAACCGTTTTTTCGTTAAATGTGGGTTGGCCGACGGTGAGCACTTGAATCGCCTCTCAGTCTGCCTTTGTTCTCTGGGTCCAGACTCACTTATCCTTATTTCTCTAGGGAATGCGTCAAATAAATTATGCCAGGATTCCAAGGTAGTTCTAACCATGTCAGGAGAGTCAAGGATTACTTGGAGAAGCCTGGGAGTACGTATAGTCGAGAGGTGAGCCGGCCTTGGAAGACGATCAATTCTTTCGGCCCTCATATCGATTTGGAGTTTGCTGACAGTATATCTGCACTGATCTGTGTCGTGGATAAGTTCGGCAGAATCGGTATCCGAATATCCGGGGATCCCGTGAATGATTGCTGAGCAGCATGATTCTTGAGAGTGAATCTCCTTGCTGTTGCGAAGATGTCCTCCACTGACTAGGGTCTGTCAGGCCTAATCCTGACGTCAGACAGTTTACGTTTCACCAACTGATGACCTTTCAGAGGGATGTGTTCGGACAGACGCGTACTATCGATAGACACTCTTAAAGGCCTGGGAGAGCCTTTGGTGGAGAACTTACTACGCGCTAGGCGCTGAAGAGATGGATCACAGGCAGAGGTGCCTAGGAGTTTGCGAATACCCTTCCACTGGCGAGGGTCATGTTCTTCACGATCATTCAATAGGGAGAAGCCACTTTTCTGAACGTTGAAGAGCATGAGCGACCCAAGATTGAGGTTATGGTCCTTCTTTTGGAGCTTATTCCTACCTGTGAATACAGACTCAGATTTCTGATTAGCCTTTTGGGAGTGACTCCGAAGACCTGAGCAGCCGGCCGTGGGAGTCTTCCTGATGATTGAACGAGGCTAGTGATGAAATGCAGGTGGCTTCCGCCATGAGTTACAGGTGGTGGGACCAAGATCTGTCTTTCTTCCGAACGCTTTTCACCTGAGTAGGAGGGGCAATGTTCAGCTTATGGTTCGGCTCCCCATTAGGCCGAGTAGTCGTTACTATGCCAGTCTTACGATCGTTGCCTAATGTTCTATTTTTAACTGATCTGACCCGTCTACATTTCTTCAGACTTTCTTTCGGCGCTTATCGGGTTTGAGATTCTCGTCCATCAATGAGGGGATCTGCTTCAAAGGCATGCCAACGGGGAGGCAGTCTGTGTTTAGGACTAAGTATGCAATACGAAATTTGCCATTCTGCCCATCGTTTGTTCTATTGGCAATACATGAAGCGGGAAAATTTTGATGCCGTCTATGAATGATCTGCCTGATGTGGTATCTGTTTATCGCGGACAAGTCAGTAATCTTCCAGCTGATGATTACTATTTTATACTACCTGGCTTCTGTCAGTGAGCTGGTTTAAGGGAAGACACACCACTTCAGATGTGCATCTGTCGGCTTGTGCTTTGGTTTCAAACTGCAAGACCATTGTTCAACGCTTGAAATCTCCCGTTGCTATCTTGGGTTGGACTCCTCGACCTTAATTGGCAGATGGATCTCTATGCAGATGCCTCTATACTGCCTGATTATTCAATATGCTGTTGTCTAGCAATTTTACTCACCAAAGCAACGGGAGATCAAAAGTTTCGAGCAACAACCGATACCTGTCGTGGAAGAGATGGCTTTCATACCCCGGTGACTTAGTGGATAGCTCTTAAGGGTCTGCACTGACAGGCACTGGCTTCAAGTGTCGGTGGGATTAGGAGTGGCACCAGCCACCAGGGTTAAGGGGGACGCAGTTGACGAGTAGGTAACAAACAGGGTGAAACGCCCGCCTTGGATTTCACTGTTAGTCTACAAG